AATTTGACACTACAATAATATGCAATTACTATTTATTACCCTGTGTAATAATCTGTTTCCTTAAAATTGATACCCAGTGCAATAGCTATATATATAAATACCCATCTATATAAATACCCATGTAAATACCATGTGCAATAACCCTGTATAATCCCATGCATCTTTTTCTTCTTTTTGACTATTTGAGCTGATGTAATGACTGCATTTCTCCAATGTGAGATCAATAAAATCATTTAATCAATCAATTACTTTGGTGCTATGTAGCACACAGGTTTACAGTCCACCCAATTAGACAAAGAACTTACTGTACATTTTATGAAATAAGTAAAATATGTTATTAGTCAATAACTGCTGAAAGGATGGCAAAAAATGTTAGATGTGATGTTAAAAAGCTTATTTTATAGGATCAAAAGAATGCAAGAACAATGATAACTGAAAAAAGGGGCAGAGAAGAGGAAAGATTATTATAAATGCAAAAATGCAATATTCTACATTTGTTTTTAAATGCAAGGGCATAATTCAGGGAACCGTGACCTTCTGCAATTAGTCAGTCCTCCGTTCATAAATACACTTATGAGCTGCAAAGTGCAAAGTTGTGGTTTATTTCTAATATACTGCTTATAAACTTCCTATTAAACACAGAATTCATTCCCAATTTCAGCTTACATGAATGCAAATGTATTTCATTTCAAATTCAAAAACTCCAATTGCAGATGATTGTTTAGGCAACTAACCCATTGTCCTAAGCAGCAATTCATCCTCAAGTGCCATTTGTCTGCAGCTTTTCCATGCATCCCTTCCTTAACACACTTGAAACAAAAGGGAGGTAATTTTTGCCTTTTGTTTCAGGTGTGTTGCAGCAGGGATGCCTGCTAAAGCTGCAGGACAGACTTGAGGACCAGTGGTCTACGGAATACTTCTGATATAGCCATGCCCCCCTCTGCCCCTTAGTAATAGAAGTCTAGCTATGCCTCCATATGCAGCTTGCACCTTTTATGACCTTTCAGTAGTGCGGGAGAAAAAGATGTTAATAAAAAACCAAAACAGGTTAGCAACATATCACTTGAATAAGCAATTGCTCCTGTATCCCACCGCTCACTTACTGGTCGATTTCTTCAGGTTTGCAAGGATCTAATTGGTGGCAATCACGGTAAGGATTAGTTTGAATGCAAAAACACCTCAGCTTGTATATTAAAAATTTTACTTACACACATTCATTGCAGTTTTGCAACATAAGCAGTCTAAATAAAGCAAGATGTGCATTTATTTTCTATGTAATTCTTCCTAAATCAGATTCCTTGCTGTAGAGCTCTGATCAAAATTACCTGATGCAATGTGTCACACAGTCATTAGTGTTATCATTTCCAGAGCGGTATGTGGCATGCCACAGCTATTGAGCATTTACCACACATGTCCTTCCTGTAGTGTCTACACTGTATAGTTTAGATTTCATCTTTCTGTATCTTCCAGTGGGAGCAAACTGGTCAAAGTTCCTGGAGTTATAAAACAAAAGTTGAAAATGGGCTGGTACTGCAGCCCAGCAGTGTACATACAGCATGACAAAAAGACATCACATAAATCTTCACATAAATTCAGTTTTTTGGGATTTGTACAATGACAGTTTGCAGTTAAGATACAAACCAGTAGAAGTAATACAATAGTAACAACATTTGGAGGATTATAAAAGTCCAGACAAATGGAAGAAGTGAAAGAAAAGCATTGTTCAGCAAAACCTAACTTAGGGCAGGTATGCAAAAAAAATAATCATAAAAAACTCTATTCCATTCACCCACCTTCCCCTAACTTTCACCTTAATGCAACACATTGTTCCTGAATAAGCACAGAAAACAGCCTCCTTTTTAAACAAACTGATCATTCTCTTCATCAAATAATAACTAAAGTTTCTCAGTTTATGGCAAAAAGATGCATTTTTTTCAGTTTGCAGATTAATCCAGGCTTCAAATAAAATATCAAATTTACAATTAAGCACCAATATTTTAACCATTAGTCTTGGAAAAAAAAGGTTACATTTACATATAATATCCACATGCACACAAAACAAGTTTTCATTCAACATCAATGAGAAATAAAAAGAAGAACTACTTCAGGAACTCCACCTTGTTTCAACTGTGAAACAAAGACCAACAAAGATATGTTAAGGACTTAACAGTTTCTTATTGGGTACCTTCTAATGTTAATGAGGTTTATTTTCGGATTCTAATATAAAATGGATGATGACCAGAATCGGATGATTCCCAGCTTCAGGACAGGTGACCGTCCAGTCAGGAGCTGAAATGCTCCTCTTGAATCAGTGAACAACCAAGCTTGTGCAGATAATACGGATTGTGATAGGGATGCTGTGGCTGAAAGGTGAAGACTTCATTCTCAGCTATTTTAAACGTCAGTTGGATCTTTAAAAAGAAGCCAGAGGGGAGATATAGACACAAAGTATTTAAAAGGAAATTTTGTTTTGAAAGAAATTTCCGACTAATCAGCATTTAAAGCTGAAAGAGAGAGCCAGACTTATAACTGATAACAGGAAGGTTAAACAGAGAACAGCGTAGCTGCTTTTCTTTTGAGCTGTCAGCCTATGTGCCCAACAATAGGCTAGGGAATATACAAACCTAAACTAATATTTTAGCAATGCTAACTTTACAAATTGCTAGCATGGGACACTAAAAGCGCTGAATAAAGAGTGAGTTCCATTTTTCACTCCTTTGTGCACTAGCACAATGTTGTTTTTGCTCCAAGAATAAATAATTGATGATCGCTTTGTGTTGTTGTTATATCGTACTAAAATTACGGTTTTACAGAGAAATATCAGGAACCCATCACCAATTCCTGATGGGTGCATCACTTGTTTCTGTGACCGGCTATCATTTTGTTCATGTACAAAATGTTCATGTCCATGACTTGCATTGAGTTCTTTCTAATAATTAATTCTAATAGTCAGCATACGNTGATCTTACAGCGGAGAAATTCACTCGTCACATATTGGCATAGAAGTTACAGAAGGTGCAAACAGGGAGGAAAAAGGTGCATTAAGAATAAACAATATATATACAGTATATCCAGGTATATACAGTATATCAAGATAAATAGGATTAAGGTGCAAGTGTACATGTATCGCACCCAATGAAAAACAAAACAAAAATAAAACAATGATGAGTGCATTTCTCCAATGTGAGATCAATAAAATCATTTAATTAATCAATTACTTTGGTGCTATGTAACAAACAGGTTTACAGTCCACCCAATTAGAGGAAGAACTTACTGTACATTTTATGAAATAAGTGAAATATGTTATTAGTCTTTTAGTCAGTTTCCTTGCTGTAGAGCTCTGATCAATATGACCTGATGCAACATGTCACACAGTCATCATTAGTGTTATCATTTCCAGAGCGGTTGTGGAATGCCACAGCTATTGAGCATTTACCACACATGCCCTTCCTGCAGTGTCTACACTGGATAGTTTAGATTTCATTCAAACTCTTGCTGTATCTTCCAGTGGGAGCAAACTGGTCAAAGTTCCTGGAGTTATAAAACAAAAGTTGAAAATGGGCTGGTACTGCAGCCCAGCAGTGTACATACAGCATGACAAAAAGACATCACATAAATCTTCACATAAATTCAGTTTTTTGGGATTTGTACAATGACAGTTTGCAGTTAAGATACAAACCAGTAGAAGTAATACAATAGTAACAACATTTGGAGGATTATAAAAGTCCAGACAAATGGAAGAAGTGAAAGAAAAGCATTGTTCAGCAAAACCTAACTTAGGGCAGGTATGCAAAAAAAATAATCATAAAAAACTCTATTCCATTCACCCACCTTCCCCTAACTTTCACCTTAATGCAACACATTGTTCCTGAATAAGCACAGAAAACAGCCTCCTTTTTAAACAAACTGATCATTCTCTTCATCAAATAATAACTAAAGTTTCTCAGTTTATGGCAAAAAGATGCATTTTTTTCAGTTTGCAGATTAATCCAGGCTTCAAATAAAATATCAAATTTACAATTAAGCACCAATATTTTAACCATTAGTCTTGGAAAAAAAAGGTTACATTTACATATAATATCCACATGCACACAAAACAAGTTTTCATTCAACATCAATGAGAAATAAAAAGAAGAACTACTTCAGGAACTCCACCTTGTTTCAACTGTGAAACAAAGACCAACAAAGATATGTTAAGGACTTAACAGTTTCTTATTGGGTACCTTCTAATGTTAATGAGGTTTATTTTCGGATTCTAATATAAAATGGATGATGACCAGAATCGGATGATTCCCAGCTTCAGGACAGGTGACCGTCCAGTCAGGAGCTGAAATGCTCCTCTTGAATCAGTGAACAACCAAGCTTGTGCAGATAATACGGATTGTGATAGGGATGCTGTGGCTGAAAGGTGAAGACTTCATTCTCAGCTATTTTAAACGTCAGTTGGATCTTTAAAAAGAAGCCAGAGGGGAGATATAGACACAAAGTATTTAAAAGGAAATTTTGTTTTGAAAGAAATTTCCGACTAATCAGCATTTAAAGCTGAAAGAGAGAGCCAGACTTATAACTGATAACAGGAAGGTTAAACAGAGAACAGCGTAGCTGCTTTTCTTTTGAGCTGTCAGCCTATGTGCCCAACAATAGGCTGGAATATGATAGGTTGAACATTTATGGATCTCAATTCTTTAGAATATACAAACCTAAACTAATATTTTAGCAATGCTAACTTTACAAATTGCTAGCATGGGACACTAAAAGCGCTGAATAAAGAGTGAGTTCCATTTTTCACTCCTTTTTGCACTAGCACAATGTTGTTTTTGCTCCAAGAATAAATAATTGATGATCGCTTTGTGTTGTTGTTATATCGTACTAAATTACAGCTTTACAGAAAAATATCAGGAACCAATCACCAATTCCTGATGGGTTCATCACTTGTTTCTGCGACCGGCTATCATTTTGTCCATGTACATCACTTCTTTAATGACTTGCATTGAGTTCTTCCTCATAATTAATTCTAATAGTCAGCATACGTGGCTCCTTTGGTTACTGAGGAATATATTACAGTTTTCCTAAATAGTTTATGGACATAACAGTCATTGGAAGACTGTTTTGCAGCAGTTAGTCACGTTATTTTTATTTCATTTGATCCTATACTGATACTGTATTTCATTCGATTTCATTGATTTAAAATTTTATTAAACAACCATATAATTCTACATATAAATAAATCACAGGCGATGATTAAAGTTTTCAGAAGAAACAAACAAATCAATAGATTTTAAATACAAGAAGTGGAGGTGATGGAGGAGCATAAATACCTCAGTCTTCACCTGGAAAGTACACTTGACTGGAGACACAGCTGTGAATTGATCTAGAAGAAGGGAGGATCAGACTTTACTTCTTAAGAAAGCTCAGGTCTTCAGTGTTTGCAGAAAGATGCTGCATATCTTCTCTCGTCTTTAGTGGAGAGTGTAAAAAAAAAGCTCAACAAGCTGATTTACAACAAAGAATTCTTCATAAAGTGAAGAACATTAAGGACGACAGTGAGCATCATGTTCATCAGCCTGTTTAAGAACATCAGTGTCTTCAGTAAGAGGCTTCTCTAGATCCTCTGCAGGACAGACCACTACAGGAGACGCTTCCTGCCTACAACTATTAACATCAACAACAACCCTATGAGTTACAACATTGAATTTCCCTTTGGGAATAATAAAGTAATTTTGAATTAAATTAAAAAGCAACATTTATTGAGTATTACAAAAATATCTAAACTAATTAAACTTGGTGGCTACTGAAGGGGATTTTTTCTTCTGGTTGAAATGATAGAATCTGGTGCTATCCATGCTTTCCTTAAAAAAACTCACTTAGCTCAAACTTGCAGGTTTAGGATTTGTTTTCACATCAGGCAAAGTCACACTTTAAGATGTTTTAAGCACATTTATGCATTTGGTTTTTTTTATCTGTTACATTGAAATCCACTGAAGGTTTTAGCTGCAAAAAGTGAACACGTAAAAAGGTTCAATAGTAGGAACACTTCTGTCTGTAAAAGCGCCTTAATGTCACAGGATACAAACATTTTTTTTAGTAGAACTTTTTTTTTAAATCCTCCAGATTATATGAAAGAAACCTTGAAGAGACAAAAAATATACAGGTCTATTTTATTTAGAAAAAAATGCTAAAACGGCACATTAATATCAAATGTCTGTTTCTTGCATGACTTTACTGTTACTGTAAAATACCAGTTAAACTGTTTATACACTATAATTTATGTACATACAAAGCAATCTTTCTCTCATTAACTTTGCAAAATAATTTTTGATTTCTCGTTTTTTCAGATGTTAGGATCTTTAGTTGGTGTGAGTTTTGGACTCCATCACCATCATCTGCGTTGCTTATCCTTTCAGAGGTCTCAGAGTGCGTCTTTATCCTGCGTTTCCTGCCCGTTGGCTCTTTGCTCTAAAGACATGAGGTGAAAATGTTCTGTTTGTGGGTTAGACGACCCACTGACTGGGACCAACACGCTCCCAGTGGTACGGCTGGTTTCCGTGATGGAGGAGTTGGTGTGGAAGTGTAAGTGATGGCTGACGAAGGATGTCTCTCCCCAGCCGGTTTTCCCCCAGGCGACCGTCCACTGAGCCCACTTCCTGCGCAGTGCTGATTGGACCTGCACATCCAAAACACCACAATTCAAACCAATGTTCCACAGTTTTTTGTTTTTATTTTAAACTTTTCCAAATTGGTTTCCACTTTCTTTAATAATGTTTTTAAGGTTTTAACCTTAGTTTACATAACCTGACTCCGCCAGATGGATTTGCTCCGCATATCCATCTGGAAACCTTCCGTTGAAGTAATTTTGGGAAGGGGCGAAAATACTGGTT